ACTTCAGTAACGTCACTCCTGATTTACACTGGAGGGGGGAATCGGGCCCAGTGGAGTCACTCCTCATTGACACCGGGGTGATGAGGGAGGAATCGGGCCCGGTGGAGTCACTCCTGATTGACATCGGGGTGATGAGGGGGGAATCGGGCCCAGTGGAGTCACTCCTGATTGACACCGGGGTGATGAGGGAGGAATCGGGCCCGGTGGAGTCACTCCTCATTTACATCAGGATGATGAGGGGGGAATCGGGCCCGGTGGAGTCACTCCTCATTTACACTGGGGTGATGAGGGGGGAATCGGGCCCGGTGGAGTCACTTCTGATTTACATCAGGGTGATGGGGGGGGGGGGGGGGCCGGGCCGGGGGGGGGCCCCCCGGATTTACAGCGGGGGGGTGGGGGGGGGAATCGGGCCTGGTGGCTGAGGCCAGCCTGCCAGCTGGTGTGAAGATCACAAATCCTGGCAGAGGGTGAAGCAGCTCCCATCAGGGCCGCACCTCACCCAGCCCTGGCCAGGGACGGCGACACCTCCTCGGGGTTTGGATCTGTTGGAGAGAGGCACCTTCTCTATCCCGCGCAGAGCCCAGCAGAGGAGCAGGGTTGAGACTGGCGGGCAGCTTTCACAGGCAGCCAATGGTGCTGGTGCCTTGCGGGCATTGGACGGGGTGTCCAGCCAGCATGGGGGTGTGGAAAGTGCTACCTCTGCTCCCTTCCCCGTCACGCTGAGGGGCTGGTGCCAGAGCCCACACAGTGTGTGGCAGCTGGCCCAGCAGCCGGGGCAGTGGGGTCGCTCTAGGGGCCTTTAAAGGATCCGTCCTATCCCAACGGGAGCTGTGGGCTTGCAGCTCCCATCGGCCTCCGCACTGAGCAGGTGTTCAGATGAGGGGCAGAGGGCACCACTGCTTCCCGCCCAACACTGGACTGGACTGCACCCCCCATGGCAACTTTTGCTGCAGTCACTAGGGAGAGTGGCACCATGGGGGTAACAGATGCTCTGCACAGCCCCTTCTCCAAGGCTGCCTTCCACTGTCCAGGGGTCTCTGCCAGGCTCCAGGGCAGGGGTGGACAAACTTTTTGGCCGAAGGGCCACATCTGGGTATGGAAATTGTATGGTGGGCCATGAATGCTCACGAAATTGGGGGTTGGAGTGTGGGAGGGGGTGAGGGCTCTGGCTGGGGGAGCAGGCTCTGGGGTGGGGCCAAAAATGAGGAATTCAGGATGTGGGAGGGGGTTCCAGGCTGGGGCAGGGAGTTGGGGCGCGGGGGGGGGGGGGGGGTCTGGGGTGGGGGGAGGGGGGGGGGGGTGGGGGTGCAGGAGGGTGCTTCAGGCTGGGACTGAGGGGTTCAGAGGGCAGGAGGGGGATAAGGGATGGGGAGGAGGTTGGGGTGCTGGAGGGGGCCCAGGGTGCAGGCTCCGGGAGGCGCTTACCTCAAGCAGCTCCCGGAAACAGCAGCATGTGTCACGGAGTGTGGGGGGGCTCAGGGCCCTGCACCCCCGGCTTCCTGCGATTCACCATGACTCTCAGCCAGCCAGTAAAGCAAAAGGTTTATTTAGATGACAGGAACACAGTCCAAGACAGGTCTTGCAGGCACAGACAACAGGATCCCCCCCAGATAGGTCCATCTTGGGGTCCCAGGGCCCCACAGCCCCCTTGGGAGGTCAGAGCCCTGTCTGCCTCCCAGCCATTCCACCAGCCAGCTCCTGAAACTCTCCCTTCGGAGACCCCTCCCACAGCCTTTGTTCAGTTTCCCGGGCAAAGGTGTTACCTGGCCTCTAACCCCTTCCTGGGTTCTCATGTTACATGCTCAGGTATCTTCCCTCAAGGCCAGTCTCCCATCCCCCAATGCAGACCGTCCTAGCCAACCTCCCCTGCCTTCCCAGCCAACACTCCCCACTCAGCATTCAAAGACCACATTAAGAACAGTCCCAGTTCGTCACAACATGTACCCCCCTCCGGCTCCTACACGGAGGTGCGGCCAGGCGGCTCTGCACAGGGCCCCGTCCGCAGGTGCCACCCTTGCATCTCCCATTGGCTGTGATTCCTGACCAATGGGAGCTGCGGGGGCGGCGCTTGGGGTGGGGGCAGTGTGCGAAGCCCCATGGCTGCCTCTACGTGTAGGAGCCAGAGGGGGGACATGCCGCTGCTTCTGGGAGCCGCACAGGTCCATGGCATATGCAGAGCGGGGCAAGCCCCCAACCCCGCTCCCCAGCTGGAGCTGGACAAGTCCCGGACCCCGCTCCCCGGTGGGAACTCGAGGCCGGATTAAAACGTCTGAAAGGCCAGATGCGGCCCCCAGGCTGTAGTTTACCCACCCCTGCTCCAGGGCGTCTGTAACGGGAGGCAGTGCTCAGGGAGCAGCCAGCCAGCCAGCCCTGCATTTGCAGTCTCTCCCCGCTGTCAGTTTCTGCTGCCTTGGCGCTTGGTTCAGCAGCCCTGGGGCCAATTCCCCAGGATTATTGTAATAACATGTCACAGGTCTATAGCACCTTTCCTGTGGAAGGCTCAAAGGGCTTTGGGTAAGCATTATAAACCCCATCACGCAGAGCGGGAGACAAGCACACAGGGGAAGTGACCTGCCCAAGGTCGGTCTCCCCACCAGTAAGGGCAGAGCCAGGAATCCAGGAGTCCTGACGGCTAAGCCCAGGGCCGGCTCCAGGCACCAGCTTCTCAAGCAGGTGCTTGGGGCAGCCAATCCGGACGGGGCGGCAGTTCCAGGTATTCGGCGGCAATTCGGCGGACGGTCCCTCACTCCGCCTGGGAGTGAAGGACCTCCCGCCGAATTGCAGCCGCAGATCGCGATCGCGTCTTTTTTTAGATTGCGATCGCGGCTTTTTTTTTTTTTTTTTTTTGGTTTTGGCTGCTTGGGGCGGCCAAAACCCTGGAGCCGGCCCTGGCTAAGCCCCTCCTCTAAGCACAGACAACACTCCTTACCAGAGCTAACAATGGAACCCAGGAGCCCGCCCAGTCCTCTGCTCTAACCACTAGACCGGGCTCCTCCGGGCTCAGTCACAAATGTATTCTGAAAGGGATGGAGTGGCTGGATCACTTGCTCACTGTGGAAATGCAGCCATCGCTGGGGCGGAGCACGGCAGCTGCTCACCCACACATGACCACGCTGTGCAACAACTTAGGGGAAGAGAAGAAAAGGATCCTGGAGCTAGCTGAAGCTGCAGGGGGGATTTGGTGCAGCACAGTAGGACCCAGGCTGGAATTTGGCCAGGACACTGGGGTTCTCTGGGGAAACGACCAGGGGATCTTTAAAATCCACAAAGGATCAGTTTTACTGCTTGTCTAAATGGCAGCCCCTCCAGCAGCACAGCACCCCTTAGTGCCACGCTGGGGCATTGGCGTCAGCACTGACTGCCTGGGGAGAGCACCCCCTACTGACTGACTAATACCACTTCCTGCAGTTCCTGGGTGCTACTTGGAGACCTCTCATCTGGGGGCTGCGTCATGTGATCACAATAGGCCATGCGCTTATTAATAAAAGACCCACGTGGGCCAATCTAAGCTCGTGGAAACCAGAGGCTGCTAGTGGCAGTTCCAGGGACCGTTTAACCTCGCTACAGCCAGCAACAGCACCGAACCCCCCATCTCATAGTCAATGGCAAAACCTGCCGGCAGCTCGGTGGTACGTCATCCCCCCGCAGAACATGGAGTTGAGCAAAACTCAGCCGTGGGAGAACCAGGAAATGCACAGTTAAGGGTTTCTCCTGCCCCCACTTCCTGATAGGGAGCAGGTGTATGAGCCCAGCCCCTCCGCCCCTTCATCTCTGCTGCCCTCAGGAACTTCCCAGACTGCCACCAACCGAGGCCCAGAGATGCTGCTGGATTCCAGGCTCCATCTCCCTTTCAGCCCAGGCTGCTGGCATGCTGGCGTTGCCTAGGCTGCTGCCTCGGGGCGTTCTGGCTACATGGGGCTTGGTCCTTGTGGGCTGCCATGCGACATGGCGTGTCCCAAGCAGGGTGGGATGCACAGAAGGAGCTGACCCTGTACTAACGAGAGCTGCCCCAGCCACCAGAAAGGGGACCTCCCCCAAGGCTGACGTCTGCTCTGGTGTCTCCTCACGAACACATAGCGCATGCTCAGGCCAGGCCTCCCGCAGGGCCCAGCTGTGATGCTTTACATGGCAGTTCCTGGGCTTCCTGCACTGGGATGTAAGTCACCAGCCTCGCCCCTGCCCAGCAGCCCCTTTCTGTTGCTCCTGGTGGAGCTGTGAGGAGCCCCAGCTTGCTGGCTGCAGGCGAGGGTGGGCTCGGCACGGAACTTCCTCCCAGCTCAGATGGGCAGGGACCTCGGGGGGTTTGCCTTCCTCTGCAACACGGGGACTCTCTGGGCATATCCCAGCAAATCAATTTGCTGCCACTGACGGGGCCTCGGGCGTAGGGCCCCTCGGTTCCTGAGGACGGCAATGCTTTGATCTAATGACAGACTTTGGGCTCAGTGCAGGGGCGGCTGGGTGCCATTCGGGGCCTGTGCTACACAGGCGGCCAGGAGATGGTCTAGGGCCCTTCTGGACTTAAATGCTGTGAAGCTTCCCCTTGCACGGTCCTGCTGCTTTATCAACAAGCAACCTCTGCCCCGCCGTGCCAGTCCTCTGCAGCCTCCCAGCTCTGCTGCTGCCCCTCAGTCCGAACCCGCAGCCCCTGCTAGCCCAGCCTGGGCTCCCCTCAGCTCTGCTGCTGCACCTCACTCCCCACCCGCAACCCCTGCTAGCCCAGCCCTGGGCTCCCTCCAGCTCTGCTGCTGCCCCTCACTCCCCACCCGCAGCCCCTGCTAGCACAGTCCTAAGTCCCCTCCCAATTCCTCCAGCGCATCCCAGTTCTGACCTGACCCCCCCTGCACTATGCCACCCTGGCTGCCCCAGGGCAGAGCGTACCCGTCGGGCTGTAGCTCTCTCCTCGACCACCCCCGTGAGTGCAGGGCTGTTTCGGAGCCCGCTGGGCTGGTGGCATCCCCCGACCCTGGTGCCACTCACAGCGCGTGTGCTTCTCCCTCCAGGATGTGGCCACAATGCAGTTCTGTGCCAACAAGCTGGACAAGAAAGATTTCTTCGGGAAGTCCGACCCCTTCATGGTGTTCTACCGAAGCAACGAGGATGGAACGTAAGTGCCAGCCCAGTGCTCGCCTCCCCAGGCTAGCAGGCCTGGGGCAGGGTCCCATGCCTACCTGCCATGGCGCCATGCTGGCCCCCTCAAGGTTCCTCCCTCTTGCTTCCAGCCCTCTGCCTGGTTCAGGCAAAGAGCAGAGACAGCAGCATCCTTCAGCTGGGGGTGGGTGGGAGGGGGAGAGGCCCTCGCTGGCTAGCTGGGCCTGCCACACTCCCGTGGGGAAGCACAGGTGGAAACTGCTGGGGAGGTTTTCGCTGCTATGGTTGACCCCTGGTGCACTGATCAGTGTGAAGGAATGGGTGCATTCAGGCCTGAGCCAGCACCCAGGAGCCGTCACCCAGTGACGTGCGTGGCACCCTAAAGCTGTGAGGAGTCAGGGACAGACAGCCCCCTAGACAGCCTTGCTTTAGCTGGCAGTCTGGCAAAGGCCGACATTCCAAGGGTTAATGGCAGAATTCCCCTAGATTTCTTGCTGCACCTCAAGACACCTGGGAAGGGACCCTCGGGGTCAGCCATAACCTGCTACCGTGACTGGCTCCAGGGTGCTCAGCGGTGGGAGTGCCCGCCATGTAAAACACCACTCGGTTCCCAGCCCAGACAAACCTGTGGGATGCAGCATGCATTAACCCCCCTCACACCTCCCACCACCATTCACACCCATGCAAAGTGCATGTGACAGCTCTGATCTGCTGGGCATGGGGCCTGGTTCATCCCTAGGCAGCAGGGCAGAGGGAGCCAACCTCCCCTCGCAGCACATTGCAAGGTGCTGTATGAAATTCCTCCTGAGTTCTCCCGAATCCGGCAGATGAGAGAAGAAACGAGGCTGTAATTCCTCCGGGGGATGGGAACGCTTAATGAGCCGTGTGCCAAGTAGAACGGAGACATTCATCCCATTGATCTCTAAATCAAAGACAAACAGGGCAGGGGTGAGCTGGCGCTCCCATTCGGAGCACACGCCGCAGGCTTGCATCAAAGGCAGCCCCCCTGTCTCCCACCCGCAAACTGCCTCCCTTCACTGTGCTGATCGGCATATTGCACGGGGCCTTGGAGACATGTCCCATTTACCCTGGGCCTGCTGGACGCAGACATCTGGGAGGCTCACACCCAGGGTGGGTGCTGTAAGCCGGCCTGGTCCATAGCACGGTGAGACCCTGTGCTCCCTGAGTGCTCCCCAGAGGGGCAGGGCCTGAGCGTGAGAGGTTATGGAGTCTGAGCAGTGCCTAGATGCGACAGCGAGGGGCACCCAGCACCCTCAGCTCCCACTGACTTCAGTGGGAGTCATGAGCACTCAGCTCCTCTCAGGATCAGGCCCTGAGAGGCCAAAAGCTGACCGGCCCCTGCAGGCTGGTCTCCCCTCTCAGCCCTAGACCGTCTCTGTGTATCTGGGCTGAGGCCCATGGGTGCAGGAGCGAATTGAGTCTCACCCTGCCGCTGCCTGTATGGAGAGGATGTCGGGACATCCGTCTGCAGGGCTGGGAACTCGCTCCAAAGCCCGCTAGAGTGATGTGAAGGCTCCCGGTCTTTGGGTAAGGCGCCAGACAAGGCCGCAGGCTCTGAGGAGATTCTCCAGCCGCTAAAGCTTCGGTGGCAGTGTTCGCAAGGCCGGGCGAGTGTCCGTGGCGGCTTGAAGGCTAAGGGGCTGGGTTTGAAGGCCCCACACAGCCAGAGAGGCCCCTAACACAGTCCCCAGGAAGGCGTCAGGGCTCTCAGGGTTAGCCCATGGCTTGGTTGGATAACCACACGCCTCTCCCTGTCCCGCAGCTTCACCATCTGCCACAAAACGGAAGTGGTTAAGAACACACTCAACCCTGTGTGGCAGGCATTCTCCATCCCTGTGCGAGCCCTCTGCAATGGAGACTACGACAGGTAGGGGCCCTCTTGTCCCCCCTACCCCCAACCTGCTGGCTTTGGGCTGGGGGGCGATGGGGTTGGGATGGAGTAAGACTGCATGTCCTGGATCCTCCCAAACATCGCTCCAAAGGGGCCTCTGGACAGCCTCTCGCCCCAGGGTGATTCTGCAGCTGCCCCCTCCACAGCCGCTGCTCCCCCTGGAGGCACCATGTGGGGTCCCTGCTACGGGTCGGCCTTTGACGTAAGGTAACACAAACACGCAGAGACTGCCAGGTCAGAGGTCCTCCCCGCCTTTGGCTGTACGTCAGTGGCTGCTCTGTACCCTCTTCCTTTAGTCTTGTTGGCAGCTGCAGTAGCTCCACGGCTTCAAACAAGCCCAGATCCCCTTAAGGGTGTTCACAGATAAGCAGGCTGTTTGCTGCCAGGTGCCACGATCTCCCTGGCTTAGAGGCTGCCAGGAATTATAGCCGTTAGAGATGAAAAGAAGGCACAGGGGGCTTTGAGTCCATCTACAGGCCCCCATCCAGCCAGTGCAGGATTGTTCCGATGAGGTGTACTGTCCAGTCCAGTCTTGTCTGAAGTCACTCCAGTGCTGGGGCTCTGATCCATAAGAACATAAGAATGGCCACACTGGGTCAGACCAAAGGTCCATCTAGCCCAGTATCCTGTCTGCCGACAGTGGCCAATGCCAGGCGCTCCAGGGGGAATGAACAGAACAGGAAATCATCAAGTGATTCATTCCCTGTTGCCCATTCCCAGCTTCTGGCAAACAGAGGCTAGGGACACCATTCCTGCCCATCCTGGCTAATAGCCATTGATGGACCTATCCTCCATGAATTTATTTAGTTCTTTTTTGAACCCAGTTATGGTCTTGGCCTTCACAACATCCTCTGGCAAGGAGTTCCACAGGTTGACTGTGCGTTGTGTGAAGAAATACTTCCTTTTGTTTGTTTTAAATCTGCTGCCTATTAATTTCATTTGGTGACCCCTAGTTCTCGTGTTGTGAGAAGGAGTAAATAACACTTCCTCATTTACTTTCTCCACACCAGTCATGATTTTATAGACCTCTATCATATCCCTCCTTCGTTGTCTCTTTTCCAAGCTGAACAGTCCCAGTCTTTTTAATCTCTCCTCACCTCCATACTCTAACAGAGCGGAGTGCTACACTATATGTATATGGGGCAATGGGAAGGGAAGACTTTCCTACCCACACCAACTCCAGTACAAAAGACTTCTGAGATCTAAAGGGACACTTCACCGTGTCACCGTAGCAAGGCACTTCAAAGGGGCTCTCCCTGTTTGAAATCCTCCAGCTCTGCAGGCTGGGCTCAGCTCTAGATTGGACAGCCCCTGGCTGATCTCAGCGGTAGCAGAGTGAGGGATGGGGCCGCCGTCCCCGGAGACAGCTGCCTCCCTGCAGAGGCAGTGTGCTCAGAGAGTGATTGATGAGGCAGTGGGCGGCAGGGACGCAAATGGACAGGCCCTGGAGGTGGCTTCTTTGCTTTATTCAGAAAAGCCGGTAGCGCCTCTATATTTAAATCCCGGGGAAAAGTCAGTCGCCATTCCAGGGAGCAGGAGAGCCTGGCTGGGTGACAGGTGACTGACAAGAGTGCTAATCAGGCTAATGAGGGCATCTTCACGCTGACACACTGTACACAAAAATGCCAATTAGGGAGAGAATGAAGTCTAATAGGTACCATTAATCAACGCGACATACTCTGCACTCAGCCTGGGGTATTCATAAAACATAATGCCGCATGCACTGCACGGCTCTCTATGTGTGGGGGATAAAGCCAGTATTAATTACAGCCTTCTCTGGTGCAAACACACTAATAGTTACCTCTGCTTATAAGCTCTGCCTCTCCACCCCTGTACATTTCCAGGGCTAGCCTAAGAGCAGCCGTTTCTGCGAAGCATGAGCTGCCTGATCCTCTAGCTGTGCAATGGGAAGCTGGTCTCTCATCCTGAGGGTGGGTGGTCAATTGCTTTCTCTGCCACTGACTCACTGTGCGACCTTGGCCAATTCTCTTTGCACCTTAGTTCCCCAGTTGTGCATAATATTGTTTGCTTTGTCTAGGTAGATTGTAAACACCGCAGGGCATGGTCTGTCCCTCGCCATCTGTGTGCGCAGTGCCCAACACAATGGGGCCCTGCTCTCATTAAATACGAATATAATAAATCGAGCAGATATCAAATGACAAAAATTCCCCTGCTCCCAAGTATGAACAGGGCTGGTTCTATTCACTGATCTAGTGGAATCGGAATCCTTCTTAATCAGCCCCAGCCCCAGTGTAATTCGCTGGAGGATTAGCTAACCTTTGGGAGAGAATCTTCTGTGTCTGCGGCTCTCCTCCCTCTCCCATGTCATTCTACAGCAGCAGCATCTGACAGCACCTTGCGCTGCTTCCCTGGACTGAGCTGATGGCCTATGAGTATTTCTCTCTGTGGGATTTCAGAGGCTTTACTGCAGGACCATGTTTAACAACAAAATGTTAGCGAGAGCAGCAGGAAACACTCAGTCCTGGGACATGTTCTTCTGTGGCACAACGTCGCTCTGTGTTTCTGTTTATTTGCGCAGCTCAAAGCATTTTCTGAGCAGTCTCATGCCACCCCTCCACAGCACATTTTGTTACGCTCATTTTAAAAGATAGATAAACTGAGGCACAGTGAGCTTCAGACCTATTTTTTCAAAAGCATCCACTTCTTCTTAGCATGTGCACAACGTGCCTCAGATGGCACGGGACCTGGATTCATCACCGAATTTGGTCTGCTGGTTGGATCATTAGCTTCCCCAGCTTGGGCCGGGTACTGACGGGGAGAAAGCATCCACTGCTCTAGGGTGTCTGGGTGAGAAACCTAGAACCTGATTTTCATAGGCCTGAAACTATCTTTAGTGGGAGTTGGAGCTACTCATTGGAACAGCAACCATGGGAGTCAATGGAGCCGGACCCCTGCCGTGTGGGTTCTTTAATAACCCTGACCCAGGCCAGGCAGCCGGGGCTAGGAAATCAGTACCAGCTCTCCCGTGTGTCACACCATCCTGACATGGTGTCAGAGGGGGGTAAACCACTGGCAAACGGGGATCAAACGATGCCACCCGAATCCTTCAGTCTGGATGGGAGGCTGGTGAACAGAGGAGGTGGCTGCAGCATGGAGAGGTACTGCTGAGAAATCAGAGCTGTTGAAATCCTGCTGCTGCTCCATGCGGCAGAGCCCAGAGAGCCACAGCGGGCTACAAAGTACGAGACAAAGTCCTTCGGAAACGTCACTGATCCAGGGAAGAATGTCGCTTGGGAAAGGCACGTTTTCTGATGCCAATCAACTGCCAGACAAGCCCTTGGCCGGTAAGTCACAGCCCTGCATGAAGCTGCGTTATGAGACTGAATGGCTACAAGATATATCAATTAGAGACCAAATTCTGGGGGTCTGATGAACAGACAGGCCCAAGCAAGGTCATTGTGAGGGGTGGACTTGACTTTGCAGAGCACAGTGGATACATTCTCCAAGAGCAAAATCTGAAACAGAATGCAGAAGAGCCACTGAAATCACAAGAGTTTCAACTGACCCATGTTCCCACTTTGGCACAGATGTTTCTGAATCAAACAGGAAAGAGCACCTCTTACTGGTGGGCTCCTCCTCGTTTTTCACTCGGCTGTTGTAGGACACAGCAAATAGCAATAAAATACCTTTAAAATCTCACTTTTCTCACCAGTGGGATTCCAGGCAAGCTAGTAACCACAAATAGATCACCGTTGGGGAGCGGCTCCTTTGGGCAGTTCTTTTTGATACCCCAGTTCTAGCACACCGCATCCAGCCCTTACTAGGCACAGTCAACGGGGCTAGCGAAGGAGCCGGGTAAATGACAAAGGACTGGCTATAAACAACTGTGGTGGATTCCAGGGATCCATTGTTGGCATATCACAGCACAGCTCACAACAGCTCAGAGACTCAGAAAGGCAAAACTCGTAGTGCCATCACCTAGCAAGCTTCTCGAGCTAAAGACGATTAACGTGGAAGCAGTTACAGGAGAACCCTGCCCCAGGGAACTAGAACAGAAGTGGCAAGCTGTGATGTTATTGACATAAACTGGGACCATATAGATCATTGTTGCAACCAAGGTCCTGTAGTGGCACCCAAATCTTGTATAAAGGGGGTCAAATGGGGTGTCTAAGACAAGGTTATGGTTTACTGGTTATGATTAGGCTGTCTATATGTGTGTATCAGTTTTGTAGTTGAAGTTATTATTATGGCTCTATACTGTCTGTATGACAAACTTATGCTATGCTTCTGGGTGACATCCCAGACAAGCTGGGATTAGCTCTGCCTAGCCTGCTTGATGGCCCATTAAGGACCATCAGCTATACAATGGACTCATTGAGAGAAGGCAAATATGCCTTCAGACTCAGCAAAGTATGCAGGGACTGGCCCATGTGACTCCAGGCTCCATTTTGCTGTAATTTTCCACAGTGAGAACAAAGAGGTGTTCTTACACCTGGAAAAGACTATATAAGGCTGATGCCTCATCTCCATTTTGTCTTCAATCCTGCTTCATACCTCTGGAGGAACTTTGCTACAAGCTGAAGCTTTGAACAAAGGACTGAGGACCCATCCCAGCGGGGGATGTATTCCAGAGACTTGATTTGAACCTGCAGTTTATTCTATCGCTGCTGCAAGCCTGAACCAAGAACTTTGCCATTACTGTATGTAATTGATTCCATTTAACCAATTCTAACTCTCATCTCTATCTTTTTCCTTTTATGAATAAACCTTTAGATTTTAGATTCTAAAGGATTGGCAACAGCGTGATTTGTGGGTAAGATCTGATTTGTATATTGACCTGGGACTGGGGCTTGGTCCTTTGGGATCAGGAGAACCTTTTTCTTTTACTGGGGTATTGGTTTTCATAATCATTTGTCCCCATAACGAGTGGCACTGGTGGTAATACTGGGAAGCTGGAGTGTCTTAGGAGATTGCTTGTGAGACTTGCGGTTAGCCAGTGGGGTGAGACCGAAGTC